ATGATGCATGTGTTTTTGTGAATGACCCGTGTTATACTGTTGCAAATTTGATTTCACCCATTATATTTCTGTTGTTTCATGAGATTATAATTTTGGGTTTTCTAAGATTTATGCTCTCTTTTTGGGGTTGCCAAGATGGTGTCTTTGTTTTTCTAGAATTAGTTGTATTAATTTTTCCTAATTTAGGTAATTACAGATGTGGTTTATGTTCTTATGTAAAAAATGAGTTTTTGAAACCAGCAGTTATTGTTGCATTGATGCTTAATTTGATGCCTTTAGATTTAATTAGTTATGAATCCATCCATGTTCCTAATCAGTGATTCATTCTTTTTCCTTTCAACATGAGTAGGCCAAAATTTTCTATAACCATTGAATGAGCATGGTGAAATTCCTTATAATCTCTCCGGGCCCGGAAGGGGTGGATAACTGTGACTTGCCACCAATTGTCTCCCTTCCGATTATCCCATGATCAACCTCTACCTTATGATAACGCGATAACAACGTCGGTGTTCCTTGCTGTGTTTTGATGGCAGTTTTGTTTGTTTCACACATGTATTTGGAAATAATAAGGTTATGACAGCTGTTGGTGATTTGAGAGATTCCAGAGTGCTTCCGAGAGATCATATTTTGTTGCATATTTTGTGTATTACTCCTGTATATATATCATGTATTTGTAGGCTAATTGGAATTTGAAGCAATGTTAGCACACGACATGTTTGACAATTATGTACCCCATCGTGTATTTCCAAACAGTTATTCCTTAATTTAAAATTTTTAATTTTCTGCAAGCGCGAGGGCGATGCATATTTCTAAAAGATCTTCAAGGTGTAAATGCGCAATGATAGATTTCTGCATTCTTTTGATTCAAGTAAGAAGGGGAATATTGAATGCAGTTTTCAATTCAAATTGTATGTGGAGTGTTGTTTGTTGTTTTTTTTTTTTTTTGGTTTCTTTTTCATACAATTATCATCATTTGGTCATAGTTGCTCGAGTTTGAGTAGTTTGTGTCCAACTTTCATGTTGTACTTTCTGTTGACAATGATCTCATTGTTTCTAATGTGGGACAATGTTTTGAAGTTGGAGAGACCAAGAACTGGCCACCCTCTATAGATTGCAGTACTACTACTCTTGATGAGGTCTATTTCAGTTCCTCTCTACTCTCTCAATCTTCATAACTTGCTTTTTTATGTCTATCAATCTATCTATCTTCACATTTATATATTAGAATAGACTTAAACCATTTACTACTTGATTATAAGGCTCTTTCCTTTAGCACTTATTTGTGGTAATGATCCATATGGTTTCACCAATGAACTCACATCCTTGGATGGCAAGAGGACTCAATAGAGCTCAGTATATAACTCAAAATCCTTTCTACAAACCTATCTTTTTTACCTTATTGAACATAAGGATGTAAGTAGATTTGGATATAAATGTACATAGATTTAGTATATTCCGCACATTAAACATGGTTTCAAAACCCGCAACATCGCGCAGGCTGAATTCCTAGTGTCAACTATAACTAAACGTATTATAAATAAGTCAATGAGGTTTTATGGTATAGTAATGCACGTAAAAAACATTATAACTAATAGTCTAATACCATTACTTGGCAGCTGACATTACAGCTGAAAGACACTTTCTAAATTTTTGAGATTTAAGAATGAGGTTTTATGGTCAACCCGACTTCGGACTATGCAACTGCAGGTTTTGTTCTGCGACTTCAAATTCGTATTGTGGTTTCTATTTTAGTATAGTCAAATTAGTCAAACCAAATATTCAAATTTAGTATGAGTGGTTTCAGGCTCCTATAATACTACAATCCAAAATTAGATGTGCCTAAATTTAGATTTGGAATTCGTGTCGTGTTTTCCGTGTTAGTATCATTTTTGTGTTATACTCGATATCTTAATGGGTTGTGTCGTGTAAGATCCGTTAAAGTAAACGGGTAATATGATTTGATCCGAAATCGACCCGTTAATACTATCAGGTAATATGACCTAACCCGTTACATGTTAAAGAAAATATTTTTTAAATCAATAAATAATGAAAATGAAAAACATAATTTGACAAAGAAAAAGGGAAACATGGTACTAAATTAGTATATGCATATCACATTGTCACATAAATATTACTCCAAAACATAATAAAAAAATTGGTCTTTCAAGTATTTTATACTCCAAAATAAGAGCCTAATGAAAAAAAATTAGTATATTACTATAAAATACCAAATGTTTGAGCATATGCAAAGTGAAGGAAGGTGCGTTTTAAGGTTGAGGAACCTTGCACGTTTATATATGCTTTCACATTTTTTAGACTTGTATATTAATGATTATGAATTTTATTTATTTTGAACTCCCTTAAAAATACTATTTATGAGGGTTTGTATGGTTTTAAAATTCAAACGACATTGTACCTATACTCATAGCGTAGAGGATGCAATCACGAGCCTTTGCATATTTTTTTAACATTTTTCGCACTTGTAAATTAATTATTATAATTTTTTTAATGTGTTCGGTATTTTTAAATTACTTGATATTTTTATTTTAATGTGTTTTATAATTTTTTTTAATCTCACTCTTTGCCTATAGTATACTATAAAAATAAATAAATGCATAAAACTTAAATTTTTAAATTTATATAGAATAATAATACAATAATACATATTTAATATTTAATATACAATATATACATATACACAATGGCTATTGTGTTTATATATAGTAAGGTTTCTTAGAAGTTTGAAAAACTAAAATCATCAAAATAACTTTTTTTCTTAACGTGTCGAAATAGGTTACACACGTGTCACTTTTGTGTAAACCTATTAAGAACCCGTTATTAGTGGGTTCTTATTGTGTGACCTGATAACGATCCGATTAGTTATCGTATTGACCCGAAACCCATTATTTTCGTGTCTTTTACGTGTTGTGTTAACGAGTTGTGTAAGAAATTGTCAGGTCTACCTAAATTAACTATAATAAAATAGAAACTGCAACATATATTATGAATTCACAGAATTACAAAACTTAACTGCAATACAGTATTTACCCTGGTCTTCGATTGTTTATGAAAGATTTGTTGGTTTGTAGATGATTTTGTGAGTTGTGATGGATGAATTTGGTAAAGAAAAACGGTTGTCCAAAGCAATCTCATAACGTGGGAATTAAACCCAGATGAGAAATCCGTAGTTTTTATTTCTTTACTTATTTATTTTTTAATTTTCAATTTTAGTACAAGAGAAATCCATAGTTGAATGGGTGAAATGGGACATGGTGAGTAATTCGATTCCATTTTCTTTGAACTAAAATTTTAATTTTCAAGCGAAATAAAGCATTTACTTAAAGAATGGGTGGATTTGGCAAGAAAAAGAACGGGTGAATAATTGCAAACATGGACGACGGGGGGAGGATAAGGTGGGGAGTTGGAGGGATTTATTTTTTGTAATCATAATGTTAGGGAGACCAAAATTTTAAATCAAATTTATAAACCAAATGTTGTAATTGATGATTAGATTATTATTTAATTGTTGAATAAAAAATATTTTCCTATTTCTATTTCTTTTTATTGATTCAGTCCAGTTTATAAGAAAATAGGAGATTTTGTAACAAAAAAGGAAGAAGAAGAAAGTACATTTTATTGGTAAACAAGAAGAAAGTACATTGGTCGCCCATGTTTGGTCCCAAATGGAGATGTTAGTATGTTACCCAAATCATCTTCAATTGGCGTCAATGTGTTTGTTTGTTTTTTTAGGAGATTGTTTCTGCTTACCATCTTTAAGTGATTGTGATATTCACCATCTTATTTATCACTATTGGATGAGTTTAAATTTTAAGATTTATATAATGCATAGACACAAGTATCAAAATTTAAACTTATCTAATAGTAATAAGTTCGGTAGTGAGCAAAAATACACTTTTTTTTTTTTCCGAGACTAGTACGTTGACCTATTCTTAAAGGTGTTTCTTTGGAATTTCGCATTTATTAGTATTGGTATTGGAAGTTCACCTTAGTACTTAAAGTTCGTATTGGTAATATCATTGGAATTTTGCGTCGACATTGGCATAAAAAAGGGCATCATTATTTTTTTTTTCTTGGCAAACTCATATTGTTCACCATCATTTTTTTGACGCATGGGAGGAGGGGGAGTGGCAAATAATTTAGCAAATTAGCAATACAGTTTAATTATATGTTAAAAGTAATTTTGTATTTCATTTATTGGGATTTCTCTAGTAGGATAAAGATTAGGATGTTTTCCCATGGATTCAATATATATTTTCATATTTGTTTTCTACTTTATTGTTTACACAATATGTCACATCCTGACCCAGGCCTCCACCACATTTCGGGCCCGACTCCACCGTAGCACGATATTGTTCGCTTTAAGCCTCCCGACCACGCCCTCACAGTTTTGTTTATAGGAACTCACACGAGAAATTCCTAGTGGGTTACCCATCCTAGGATTACTTTCGCGCGAACACGCTCCAATTTTTGGATCGGGGTGTGTCACAATAACCTATCCAATACTCATAATAATTTAATTCAAATTCGTGTTTGAAAAGAATCAAACTTAAAATGACTCACTTACATATGTAGAAGATTACCACAAGACTTTAATACTAACCGCCAATTAATTTGAGAGAAAAAGATGAAATGGTGAAGGCAAGGATGGAAAAAAAAAGGGCAAGAAGATTGGGTTAGTAGAGCAGAAAGGAAAACAAAAATAAAAAATTGCCTTACTAAGGATCCGACACAATCTGAGCCGTCGAATATATTTTGAACGGTGAATTTCATATGTGTACGGACGGGTAAGAAACCTAATCCTAGCAAATCTCTGTTTGTTAGTCAATATGATTACGTTATGATTACTAATACCTTAGGGAGAAGGAATACTCTCAAAGTAATTAAGGTAAACTCTCCTAGTACGGATCACTTGTAGTATTTGGTGGTGCTATTTTCGTTCTATATAAATTTAACTTTCTTCTGAACTGCTTCTCATCGATCATTACTTTTTTCTTTGAAAAGTTGCAAGGCTTTTCTGGGTTCTGGTTGCGATGGAACCTCTGACCGGAAAGTTGTTCGTGGCTAACTTACCAAACGAGTTTACTGAAACTACCGTGAAAGAATATTTCACCAAGTATGGCGAAGTAAAGGACTGTGCAATTATTGTACACAAAGTTACTCGTAACCCTAGAGGATTTGGCTTTGTTTCCTTCACTGAGCCATCGGTGGCTGAAAAAGTCATGGGAGAAGGGCATATCATCCTTGGTAGAAAGGTATGTTTCAATTTTAGTTTTGTAAATTTGTATACAACATAGGTGTTATGATTCTCTACTAACTTTAGCAAAAGTGTGCATGAAACTTTTAGTAAAACTTTTCGTTAATTTGGAATTATGACTGAGGGTTTAGGGTTTGTATAAGAATAATTTATAAAAATCCATATTCATATAACGGTTTGTTCCTAAACAAAACTTTTCTAATTTATTTTCAATTTAGTTTTTTTAGAGGAAATTGAAACATAGAATTGTTATTTTAATAAAACGTTTATACAAATTTCATAAAACGTTTATATGAGTTTGTCAAATAACAATTTTAATAAAACGTTTATATGAGTTTGAGTCATCATTCCGCATTGACAAAAAAAAAAAAAACAATTTTAATAAAACAGTTAAAATTGAAGCATAAAATTGTTATTAAAATTATTCATCTACCAACTGATAACGGTTGCATCTGTCCATTAACAATTTTATGTTTTAATTTAACCGCTTTATTAAAATTGTTATGTTTTTTTTTGTCAAGGCGGGAGGTTGACTTGTACTCATGACTTTTATTTTCCTACCAATGAGAAGAAAAACAACAGCATACTAAGAGCTATTTGGTTTTAATTATTTTTCTTAATAAAAAAGGGGTCAAATACTTTGCTAGGTTTGTTCAAAATTTTATGAATCTATATTTTTTTCAATTTAATTTTGTGTATTAAATAGTCACCTCTCTTTTCTTTGGTCATGGTATACCTTATTTCAAATTATAATGTAGGTAGATGTGAAGACAGCTTCACCTAACAGTACTGTGAAAAAACAAAATCAAGAAGGCCAACATGGTCAATCAGAACCATATTATAACTCTAAAAGGATTTTTGTTGGAGGTTTACCACACAATCTAACACAAGAGGAATTCAAGAACTACTTTGAGAAGTTCGACACAGTTACAGATACGGTTATAATATGTTGCAAGGAAAGTGGCAAGTCCAGGGGCTTTGGCTTCATCACTTTTGAATCAGAGGAGGCCGTGGATGATGTTCTGCAGAACAAATATCATGAACTGAATGATAAATTCGTGGAGGTAAAGAGGGCACAACCAATGGGTTCGAAGAAGAATCCGGTCACGACACATGACCGTAACCGAGTAGTATTCGATTATGGAAGAAGGCCTCATCGGTTTGCAAATTCTGGAAATTTTTACTATAGTGGTGCTTACTGCATTAGTTGTTTGTGTGCTTATGAGTTTGGACACCTAGAAGGGTGTCGTACACTTGGTTATCTTTTGCCTTATGTATGTCCATATGACCACCAAGTCTATTCCTAGGGGCCGGATGGATTAAGTACTTGTAATTTCAGACGCATTCAGGTTTTGATTAATGAATGTGACATATGGTATTTGCTTATGATTTATATAGAAAACTGTGATTCTAATTCCAAACAGTTACCTTAAGACGCTTAGAATTGCAATTTCTCTTATGTTTTATAAAATAAAATAAAACTATTGAATGATGACACTAAATGAGTATGAATAGCAACCCTTTTTATATTTTAGATTATGTTTTTGTTCAGAAGTAGTTGTTTTGAAGTTTGAAATTATGTTGAAATAGTATTTTTGGTTTTAGGGTTTATCAACTTGTGTTTATTTATTTATTTATTTATTTTTTTTTTTGAGGTTGAATAGGGTTTATGAACTTTAGACAAAACAGTTGTCGATTAAAAGTACATTACTTGTAGACAAAAAATTATAACGGTAAAAGATTTGACTTGTTGATTATTATCTTTTAGATTCAGAATTACAGGTTTGTCACATAATAATTTATGATTATGTAGCAAATTATGTTTTATTGTAATGATTAAAAACAATTTCTTTGCATTCTGATTTCTTTTTTGTCTAAATATTTAATTTACTAACGTTATGATTTATATAAAAGAAAAAAAAAATTCTCCAATTCCAGCCACCCGAAGTTTTTCACAGGTCTATGATAGTGGCATTAGTCCAAATCAACTGATATAGCTTGGACTACTACTCAAGTCTGCCTCATAAACATCGGTCATAAACATCGGTCCATTTTGTGAAATAGGTTCTCAGATAGTTCACACACCTCACATCTCATGTGACAATCTATCCTTAATTTTACGAATTTATTAATTTTAAAAGAATAAATTGACGAAAATGCCCTAGAGGTGTGATTGTTGACTTTAGTTGACCGCCTTTTAGTGACACGCAGAAGTTATAATTTTATTGTATTCTTAAACTTCTCGAATGTAAGAACGCGTAGGCTCAAGCGGAAGCAAATTTGGAGTTATGATTAAAATTTTACGGAAACTACGAACGTGAAAGGCATTTTGATAATTTTACATCGCAGGGATATTTTTCCGTTTCGTTCTTTTGTGACATTGCTTTGTGAGCCAGTGGGGCCCATAGCCCATTCTCTCTCCCATTCCCCTGTGTTCCCTAAGAGCAAGCCCAACGTGGGCATTTGCTTGGGGGACGGGGGACAAAACAGGGGCCCGAGGCCCCGTGGACCAACTCCAGCGTGGGCAAACCCGAGTGAAGGTGGAGGCCCGAGCTCCGGGCCCGTGGAGAATTGCCAGCCCGAGAGCCTGAGGCCATTTGACGTCAGGCATTATTTAATTTTTTTTGTGTCAGGCGCGTGCACCCCACTCGCGCGTGGGGGCGCGTCGCAGACACAAAATCAGAAAAAAAAATTAACTTTTTCAGTTACCGTTGGGAAGCCACGTGGCTTCCCACGATCCGTTTGATCTCAACGGATATTTAATTCGGACCGTTCGATCTCAACGGTAAAAAAAAATAACAGAAGTCTTATTTAATATCCACCGTTGAATCTGAGATCATAGGTGGATATTAATATGCTTTATAAATAAAAAAATAAAAGAAAAAATAGTTTTAAAATTAAGAAAAGTTACTGTTATAACACGTGGCACAATCTGGAGTGTTGGAATTCAAATTTTTTTATATCCAACTGCAGAGATTAATTAATTGAATAAAAATTTAAAAAAATTGTAAAAAATTCAAAAAAATTCAAAAAAAAATCTGAACACGTGGCATAATGAGTACGATTAAAAAATTTATCGGAAATCCATCCCCAATAATTGTCTTTTCGGATTTTATGACAAGTGGCGCAACGACAACGATTAAAAATCTTATCTGAAATTACAAATAAAATTATTTTGTATTATTTTTTTATACTTCGGATAATGATACGTGGCGCAACGAGAACGATTAAAAATCTTATCCGATATTACAATTAAAATTATTTTGTATTATTTTATAAATAAAAAAAATACTAATATTTTATTGCCTATTGCCAGGGCTATTGAAGTGTAACGTTGGAGATGTAAATGCTATTGCTAGGGCTATTACTGTTCATTAAGGGCAGTTACTGTTCATTAGGTGGATTGAATAGTGCATAGCCTGGGGGGAGGGCTCCAATGCTGGAGTTGCTCTAAGGTCCCATTTGGTACGTGGGACGTGATGGAATGGAGTGGGATAAAGTGTTCCGTCCTACGTTTGGTGTGCCTAAAACAGGTGGAACGCGCTGTTCCACGGGATGAGTTTTGGGTGAATTTTCGTTTCACCTCCCTCTTGGAACGACTTGTTCCACCTCCGTGGAACACAAAATTGAAACATTTTAGGACAAAAATGCCCCTCATCTTTTTCAATATTTACCATCCAAATCATAAAACAAACCCCAACCATTCTCTGCCGCTACCTCTCTTCCCGTAGCCTTCCTCCTCATCCTCATCCTCTTCCGTAGCCGCCGACTACACCTAGCTCGCACGGAGCCACTACTGTCGCTAGATCGTCTCAGCGAGACCCCCCGAATACCAGCGGACTAGTAAGACCGTCATCTCTCACGTCATCCTGCTCTGCTCCATAAGCTTGCCGGACCATTCCACGACCAACGCTGCGTCCTCATAAGTCTCTCAGGGCTTCCTCTTCCCCTTCCTCTTCTTCATTTTCTTTGATTTTGTTTTGAGATTCGTGAAATTATTAGTGGGTTTTGAATGATTTCTGGTTGTGATCGATTTCTGGGTTTAATCGATTATGGGTTTTGATTTACTTTTGGGATTTTTGCATTCTGATTTATTTCTAGGTTTTGATTGATTTATGGGTTTTAATTTGATCCACAAATCAGTCATATTGTTTTAGGAGAATGTTTGATCTTGCAGAGAATAATCGTCTTCCTCTGAGAAAATTGTTCTGTGCATGTCATTCGAGAGGCCCTGTTGTTATTCCTAACATCGACCTTGTCGATTATGCCTATCAATTCGAGTAAGTTTGCTTCTTAATTTGTATGTTTTTTCTGTCATGTTTATTTTGTGTTTAGTTGCACAGAAAGTTATGGAAATTAAATAGTGGAAATGTTGGAACTGGACTAGGTTACTCAGAGTTTTGAGAATGCAAAGTATGAAAGCACTGGTATACTCGGGAGAATTCTTATTAACATGAAACAAACAACTTCGGCTATTAAATAGCCTTACATCAAACAGGAAATCAAATAACAACCCACGATTATACAGGACCTAAAATCGTGGTGAGTGACTAGGTTAAAACAGAAAACAACTTGTCCCTCAAGTATAGGAGGGTTATTAGCACGTCTAGGAATGAAGCCTAGAATAAAAGAACCCTAACAACTAGACTTTTGACTATTTCAACATCCTCCCTTAAACTGAATACCATTGATATTCAGTTTATTCCAGGGTATTCACGAACACCCATTAACTCTCGCATCTTCAAAAACACTTCAAGCTTTAACGGCTTTGTCATGATGTCTGCAATCTGTTCTTGAGTAGAACATTGTAACAGCTCCACAACTCCATCTTTGACAAGATCTCGAAGGAAATGAAACCGAACATCTATGTGCTTACTGCGACCATGCATTACCACATTCTTTGAAAGTTTAATGGTTGAGACATTATCACAATAAACTACTGTTGGACCACTTTGCCTCAAACTTAAACTCCCCAGAATTCTTCTTAACCACACCACTTGACATGCACTTGAAGCTGCAGCTATAAATTCTGGTTCAGTAGTAGAGAGAGTAACCACTGGTTGTTTCTTCGAAGACCATGAAACTGCACCTGAATTCATCATAAAAACATAACCTGAAGTGCTTTTTCTGTCATCTTGATCACCGGCATAGTCACTATCCGTGTAGCCAATCAGCTCTTCATCTTCTCCCTTCTTGTAAAACACTCCAAAACCAGTGGTGCCTTTCACGTACCTTAAAATCCTTTTAGCTGCCATTAGATGAGTCTCAGTAGGATACTCCATATACCTACTAATCAAACTTACAGTGAACATAAGATCAGGACGTGTAGCTGTTAAGTACATAAGACTTCTAACCATCTGTTTATAAAGCGTGCTATCAACCTTCACCCCCTCTTCATCACGAGTCAGTTTAAAACCAGGAACAACAGGATTGTGCACTGAGTTGCATTGATCCATATTAAACCTTTCCAACACTTCCTGTGCATACTTTCGTTGACTGATGAATATTCCATCCGTTGTCTGCACCACTTCTATGCCAAGAAATTACCTCATTTGCCCGAGATCAGTCATGTCAAACTCATCCATCATAGACCTTTTAAATTGCTCAAACTATAACTCATCATTCCCTATGAATATAAGATGATCAACATAGAGGCATACAATCAAAGTTTTACCTTCAATTGCTGCCTTAATGAACAGTGTATGCTCGTAGGGACATTTATTGAAACCTTCCTTGATGAAGTACAACTCTATTCAATTGTACCATGCCAGTGGAGCCTGCTTGAGTCCATAGAGTGCCTTCTTGAGACGATATACCTTGGACTCACTCCCCTTATGTTCATAACCAGGTGGTTGTTCAACAAATACTTCCTCATCAATTTCACCGTGCAAAAAGGCTGATTTGACGTCGAGTTGGTAAATCTTTCAACTCTTTTGTGCAGCAAGAGAAATGACCACTCGAATTGTATCCAATCGAGCTACTGGTGCAAACACCTCAGAGAAATCAACTCCATATTGTTGACTATATCCCTTCGCAACAAGTTGAGCCTTGTACTTGTCCACCTCCCCATTTTCATTCAGTTTTGTCTTGAAAACCCACTTCACTTCAATAGTTTTTCCCCCGATGGTAGATTAGTCAACTCCGACGTATCATTCTTTTCTACAGCTTCTATTTCTCGATCCATTGCTTGTCTCCACTTCTCACTCTTCACGGCAACGTAATAAGTTGTTGGATCACCATTAGTAAACAAGGCTAGGTGAGCCAAGTTTACACTTTCTTCATCAGAGAGACCCTCGCCAGTTTCATAATCTCTCATCCAAATTGGTGGTCTTCAAGTTCGTCCTTCTTGAGATGCACTGTCTTCAGCCGTGACTTCTCCTAGTTCAAATGAATCATTACCATGAGACTCATTGGTTCCCATATCTTCAATAACCCCATATCCTTCTTCATCTTCTATGATTGTTTCTTCATCAGTTTCCCATTCAAGATCAGTTAAGATAGCCTGCTCATGAATGTCATCCCAATTCCATTGTTCATTTTCCTCAAAAACCACATCTCGACTCACAATAATTTTCTGTGAGATGGGATCAAACAGTTTATAAGCCTTGGATTCCTCACTTACCCCCAACCGTATGCATTTGAGGCTTTTGTCATCAAGTTTCACTCTTTTGCTATCAGGTACATGCACATGAGATACACATCCAAAGACTCTAAAGTGATCCACCGATGGTTTGTGCCCACTCCAAGCTTCTTCAGGTGTCTTGCTTTTTACGGTAAGAGTTGGACTTCGATTTAATACATGCAATGCCCAGTTCACTGCTTCGGGCCAGAAAGTTTTTGGAATTTGTTTCTCTGATAGCATGCACCGAACCATATTCATGATGGTTCAATTTTTCCTTTCAGCTACGCCATTTTGTTGAGGTGTGTAGGCAGCCGTCAATTGTCTGTGAATGCCATTCTCACTGCAGAAACTTATGAATTCATGTGACGCGAACTCACCTCCTCGATCTGTCCTTAAGCCTCTTATGAACGTTGCTGTTTCCTTCTCCACTCTAGCTTTATAAGTTTTGAACATGGCAAAGGCTTCTGATTTCTCCACCAAAAAATAAACCCACGTTCTTCTACTAAAATCATCAATAAAAGTGATGAGATACCTCTTCTTGCTATTTGAGACTGGACTTATTGGGCCACATATGTCAGCATGTATCAATTGTAATATCTTAGAGGCTCTCCATATACTTTCCCGTGGAAAAGAGTCACGGTGCTATTTTCCCACAAGACAATCTTCACACACTTTCTGAGACGCTTTGAAATTTGGTAACCCTTCAACCATATTCTTTTGTTGTAGCACTTTCAGTCCATTCCAGCTCAAATGCCCATACCGACAGTGCCAAAGAGTTGCTTGATCAGTGGTTGTCATGGTGAGACTTTTTTGTTCCTTCAGTGAGCAGCGAACAACCAAGGCAAACATCCTATTGCATGTCATCTCAGTCTCAAGAATTAGACCTTTCTCAGGATGAAAGATCTTGCACTTTCCATGTTGCATGAGCACAACAAGTCCCCTCTCTTGCAGTTGACCAATACTCAACAGATTATTCTTTAACTCAAGTACAAAGAAGACTCCTGTAACAACATGCACGATCCCATGCACCACTATTCGCACCTTGCCCTTGCCCTTCACACTGAGACTAGAGTCATTTCCTAGCTTTACTGACTCTCTGAAACTGTCATCCATCTCGATAAATACTTCCTTGCTGCCACTCATATGATTACTACATCCAGAATCCAGGAACCAAGTGTACTCCTTCTCAGTTCCCTTAACATCCACTTGCGCCATCAGCAACATTTCTTCCTTTGTTTCTGCAAAATTCGCCTGTGAAACCCTAGCTTTCTTTGGACATTCCCATTGAAAATGCCCTAGCTCATGACAGTTGTAGCATTCAATGGTAGATTTGTCGAACCCAAATCTACCTCTTCCTCTTCCTCTTCCTCTTCCACGGTATGAGCCACGACCACCACCTCTTCCTCCTTGTTGAATTCCATAAATGACTTGAAGAGCTTGTTCATCCACAACTTGCCGACTGACTCTTTGTTCATGCACAAGAAGACTGCTCTGGAGTGCATCAATGGATAAAGCATCCAAGTCATTCGACTCTTCAATCGAGCAAACAACATAATCATATTTTGAAGTCATGGACCTCAAAATTTTTTCAATGATTACCACATCCTCCATTCTTTCTCCATGAAGCCTCATCTTATTGGCTATAATGAGCGTTCTTCCAAAATAGTCATTCACTGTTTCTCCAGCCTTCATGTGCAGTATTTCAAACTCTTTCGAAGTGCCTGCAGTTGAGCACGTTTCACACGTGTTGTTCCCTGATACTTCTGCTTCAAGGAATCCCATATATCCTTCGCAGTTTCCTTTTTCAAGATCGTTTCAAAAATTGCACGATCAATGGCCTGGAACAAATAGTTCTTGGCCTTCAAGTCTTTCAATTTCTGCTCCTCCAACGCCTTCTTCTGTAAGTCACTAGATTCAGCCCCTCCTGCTCCTGCAGTGATTCCTGTCTCCACCAAGTTCCAATGTTCTTTGGAACACAGAAAGTTCTCCATTAGCATACTCCAGTGATCATAGTGCCCATCGAACCTTAGGATGGCAGGTTGTACAAAGCTACTCTCAGACGTCATGTTTTTATTCTCTCACACTGACACCAGGTTTGGTCTGGCCCCGTGATAGGGCTCTGATACCAGATGTTGGAACTGGACTAGGTTACTCAGAGTTTTGAGAATGCAAAGTATGAAAGCACTGGTATACTCGGGAGAATTCTTATTAACATGAAACAAACAACTTCGGCTATTAAATAGCCTTACATCAAACAGGAAATCAAATAACAACCCACGATTATACAGGACCTAAAATCGTGGTGAGTGACTAGGTTAAAACAGAAAACAACTTGTCCCTCAAGTATAGGAGGGTTATTAGCACGTCCAGGAATGAAGCCTAGAATAAAGGAACCCTAACAACTAGACTTTTGACTATTTCAACAGGAAAGAACTAATAAAGTTGATAAATTTTCTGTAGAAATAGAAAATATGTGCTCTTGCAGATTGCAACATTTTGGTTATCATTTTCACTTCCAGATGCTACCCTCACCAGTGTAAAGTAATCTCATTCTATGATAGGTGGTCTATACCATTCATCAAGTTTTGGCGACTTGAAACTTTTCACTCGAGCTTCCAGCGCATGTAAATGGCCATGCCTGTTTTGCAAATGTGATTTAAACTGATTAAGTTGTCGTTTAGGAGGGACAGTTTATCCCCGCCACTGTGAAGGAAGGAGACAGTGTTCTGCAGCCAAAATATGAAGGAACTGAAGTGAAGCTTTGTGACAAAAAGTACGTATCTCACAAGGCCTTATTGCTAGTTTTCTTAGATGTGCAATATTTTAAGCTGCTTTTAATTATGTATAAACTTCTGAAAGATTTCTGTCATGATTCTAATAGTTTTTGGGGCCTATTTACTAAACCATTGCTGACCTGAATTCAATCGAGAGATACAATGGAAGCTGAAACTCACTTACTTAAGCACTGGGACTTTTGTTTTATAAATTGACTTCACATCACGTAGATAAAATATTCATATGGAAGAACTGTGTAGAAAACTAGATCTTAGATTTTGTGCTGATGATCTCCCTTCCATACGTGATTCAGTGACTTGAAGTATTACTGAATAATACGGCTGAGATGCTTTCCATTTCATGATTTTGCGCATATATGTTTTATGAATTTTTCCATGATATATGGATACAATACGTAGTGAAATGTTACCTGTTTCTCTTACACGAATGACTGTCCATGGGGTTTGTATGTATGTGTCTTATTTGTATCGCTCTCTATAAACAGGTGTGCTTTTGTCCATTGTATGTGTCTTAGTACTAGGATTACAATTTGGCGAATTGACTCAAGTAGGCATCTTTGCAGTAAAGCAGAGGTGTGCTTTAGTTAGCATGTGTATTTGGATTTCTGTATGTGACACTGAACAACATTTGAGAATGCATACTATGTTATGTATGTTACAAGAACTTGTGAAACTAGTCAGGATTGAGAAATAGATGCAGTTTTGAGAACATTTACTTTTGTATTATTTCTTTCGACATTCACTTCCTTTGTCCGATTAGGTGCTCATTATTTTATTTTATTTTAGTTTTTTGTTTTTTTTTTGCTGTTTTAGGTAGCATCTATATCGAGATGAGGATATACTGGGAACACTGCACGACTGATGTATTGTTTGACCTATGATCGTGTTAATTTTGTTCATGATTTATCCTAGTGGATTTAAGTTCCATAGCATGAAGTCGATCTTTGTCAATGCCCTACTATTTAAATTTGTTATGTGCTTATATATTAGATGAAGGAGAACGTGTAAAACTGTTCTGCTATTGGGCAAATAATTTGAATGCAACTAAGACGTCTTTAATATGTATCAAGTTTATCTGAATCCCTACCACATGTCTGCTCCAGTTATACAATGTTTATTCTTTGCTTATTTTTGAATTCGCAATGTCAACGAGGACCAGAGATGCTTGCAGACCGGTGGTCGCGGCTGCTTGCTTTCTAAGGTAAGGTTTGTCAATTCGCTCGGTCACCGAGTGCTTCTGGTTGTGGCTCTTTTCAGTTTTTGACAATGGAGCTTCACGAGCTACTACTGTTATGGTAGCGTTAGATAAAATCACAGTAGTGGTGCTTTGAACCAGAATTTGTTATGTTTTTAGTTCCAATCTTCTGCCGATTGCTCACCAGATTTTGTTATGTTTTTAGTCCCAATCTTCTGGTGATAGTGTTGTTTTCATTATTCTGCTTTTTAGATCGATACTGCACCAAACACTTCACTAAGCTAGTCCAACTTAGTCTAGTCTAGTCTAAGCCAGTCCAGCTTAGTCCTTGAAGCTAGTCAAGTCCGAGATAGTCCGGTGCAACAAACGCACCCTCATTGTTCAAGGAATACAATCTTTAGTCATTCACTTTCTCTCTCTAAATTCTCCGCCATTGTTTTTCATTTTGGTTCTTTTGCAATCTCCAAAAGCTAATCATGGTATTGTTATAAAAGATGACGAAATTCATGGCATAATATATCTTTAGCCATGTGCTAGTGTAAAAAATATATCATAGTTGAGCATATATGTGTTCAAATATGAACAAGTTAAAAAAAAAAAAAAATTGTCCCGTCCCGTCCCACGCATAAACATTGTACCAAACAACAGACGGAATAGGGTTAAGTTAGTCATTTAATCCTTTGGTTCCGTTATGTCCAGCGCACACCAGACGCAGAACAGAACAATCGTCTTGTTCCGTCATGTGCGTATCAAACATAACATGGAACCTTCGTTTCGTCCTGTCCTGTCCCATCCCGTTTCGTCCTGTCCCGTCCCGTCTGCATACCAAAAGGTACCTAATCTCCCAGGCCTTTCTCTTTCAACTCTCATTTCTGTCTCTCCACTCTTTCTCATCTAACTTTCTCTCTTTTCACTCTCTTTCTCTCTCTGTAAACACAGAGACCTGCCATCACTACCACACCTCTGGCGACCTTAAGGCCATTACCTGTCATCCTTTCCAAAACTCAAATTCAAGGGGATCGAACTCCCTCACATCTTCCTTAGACGCCCTACCTTTCTCACTCACTATGTGCTCGTTGCACAGAAGCAACTATGGCGTTCACCAATGCCCTACTTCACGACCACCATCGTCCTTGTCTTTAACCCACCACGAATGCAGTACCATGTACAAACACCCTGTTTGGGCATCCAAACCCAAAAACTAGAACTCGGAACTCTCCAAGTATTTTTTCCGTTGTCCCAAGTGTAAGACTCAATATCCCTTTAATCTTCTGCTTGTTTATGTTCTAAACAATTACTAGGTTGTTACGTGTGTCTTAATGGTGCAAAAACCTCTTAGGAATGGAATTTCCAGTTTTCTGGAAAACCATTGAACCGTGGCTGTCAGGCCATCTTTAGGCCATTTTTTCGACCAACACTGACATTAACTCGGCCCCAATTTGGTATAGACTTTTTCTCCACATTTCTAGCTTCAATATGGCTTTTGAATCATTGCATTTGGTTAAAAATTAAGCTTGAAATGATCTGTAAAAGTTGAGAGAAAAACCTACAAAAATCTGGAAATCGGGGTGACCACATGTGGACGCACGTGGTGGCCAGTGCGTGTGGTGCATGACTGCCGGTGCAGCTTGTGGTGGCGCGTGGAGGAACCCGAGGTCCCTCCTTAGGTTTCTCGAATCCGAATATGCTGTCCGTTTTCCGAAATTTGATCGTTTTAAAATAGTTCATTTATTAGCCGTACTTTGTATGAAAATGCGTAATTACGTTAATACGCTACATTTACATAAATGGTCTCGTTTCTAGGTGAAACGTATCGCAAGGATTATATGTGTGTGTGTTTAGTTTCCATATATACATCTAATAATGAATTTTCTATGTGACTGCCGTAATTAAATTAACGTTCATAGGAAATGACGTAATGATGAGAATTAGGAAATCATTATAAATCTTACGGGATGCTTAATTAAATTTATGGCTACGAATAATAATATTGTTGACTAGAAGTATCGAATCATTGTAACATGACTATATTTATGTTATCTGCTCATCGTTTACTGTACCAGTGTTTGTACTAGCTCGGGCCAGGGCCAATTTTTCACATGTATGTTCACATCGCACTGTACGTTAACTTTGGATCCATTGTAGGTGACAGTCTTATCCTAAATTGATATAAGCAATTAGGACTCGTAAGCGATGGGCATAACGCCAGTCTTCACATGATTGTAGTATTAGAGCGTAAACCATTATTACATCCAGTCATGTTCATGTCAGAATACCTCTGCATGAACTCGTGTGTATCAGCATGTGTCGATGAGCACTTGATGTGATATATTTATTTCTGAGAGATATTGGGATTACTAGAAGTTATATGCTTATTTATGAATTTATGACGTATTGAAGTTTTGAGATATTGCAGGCCACGGTAAGTATTTCATACTATATGTAATATGTATATTTTGAAAACTATACTTGTTCTACGGCGAGGGGTTATAATGTTTTCAAAAAGGTTTTATAAAACTTTATTTTTAGGCCCACTGACCTTTGTTTTTCACCCCTTCAGGTTTTAGTGGCAGTGTTCGTGTCGACGAGGATTTATGGCAAACGCTATTATCGGAGACAACTTCCAATGGCATAGTTCTTATTCTAATTTTGCTCTGACATCATGTGTGAAATGAGTTCATTCCAGCTCACAAGCGCACTCTTATATTTAGGCACCTTTAGGTTTAAATTTATTCACATTTTCCACATCATTACACTTATGGCTTCGTCACCCTCCTGGTGTCGGCCAACACAACTTGATTTGGAGTCCATGTGGACATTTTAGGATGTGTCACCTCAGGCCATATCAACAAAACAAAACAGTTCATCACATCACAAAAACAAAATAAAAAAAGATAATTAGGAGGATTATCAGTTTTTGATACTTGGTTACAAAAATAATCAGTTTTAGCATGTTGTTATTATATTGTCGTTGTGTTGTTGTTTTGTCATCGTTGTGTCATCGATATATAATTAATATATTGTTGTTACTATAAACTAATAATTTATGCAATCAAATGTAAAAAACTTATCATTCTAGCTAATTGCCCAATAAAAACGAGGTGAACTTAGCAAACTTGTATTGGTTTTGGTAAGTAGTCTCACATTTGAGATGAATTAAAATAATATTTACAATTGGAGGTTAATTGCTAATGTCACTGAGATCTTTTGTGATTAAACCTCACACCTAATAATAGTTGTAAAGTTATGACAATATTGATGATATTGGTTTTGGACCATGAGGAGTCTAAAGATTATTATGGTACCATTTTTGCACACTTTTCCCCCTCACACAATATACAAAGGCATTATTGCTCATGTCACTGCGGCAGGGAACTCATTTTTGCACACTTTTTCCCTCATTCTACACAATATGCAAGACATTATTGCTCATGTCACCGCGGTAGGAAACTCATTTTTGCACACTTTTTCCCCTCATTCTACACAATCTCTTAGGGCATTTAGCTACAATAAACATATTTTGATACATTAATGCAAAAAAAATTAGTGTTTATTATGTCGTCATTATATCATCATTTGTGTTGTCGTTGTGCTCAATATATAATTAATATGTCTAGCTGGAATGATCATTTTGGTTGTAGATATGATAAAGTGTCATTGTGTGGTCATTCTGCCATCATCACGCCGTCGTTACAAAAAAAAATTATCATTTCTATCCAAATGTAAAAGAACATGATAATGCGTGATACACTTAAAATGCCGTAATTATAGCGTCTCTATTACATTTATATCCAATGTAAGGAGTTTGGATTTTTCTTTAGAAAAGAAAAACCTACCTTCCAAATAGGTGTAAATTCAAGTATTTCTAATATACATTTATTTTTGGTACACTTTTTTCACCCAATTCGTTGCTGCTCGTGTGGTCCATTGGAAAATGTTTTTCGTCCGGTCCAGGTGGAGGCTCTTGCTGCAAGGGAAGGTTTGGTGATAATCGTTGAAAGGGGCTTATCAAATGTTATTTCGGAATGTGATTCTTTCCAGATTGCAAATGCGTTGCGTGGACATTCTCCGACAAGGTCAATGATTGGGCCTATTATTGAGGATGCTAAAGCATCTATATCGTCGATCACTGGAGTTGTTCTGGCCCATGTTCGTTGTTAGGCTAATGAAATGGCTCATCAGCTCGCCAAGTTTGCGTTATCTTGTGATAGTCTTCGGTCTTAGGAACCTCTTGATTTTCTTGCATACCCTTTTGTAATTGATTGTAATGGTTATGTTATGTGAGGGCTGTGCTTGTACTGTGTAATGTATCAACTATTCTTTTTGTTGGAAATGAAATATCTACAGTTGCTTTCAAAAAAAGGAATGGGAGAATTGTAATGATTGAATTATAATGGCTATGTTACTAAAAAAAGATATGAGAATTGTTATTTTTATGCTTCAAAAATTTTATTATATATTTTTCATAAATAATTTTTTTTAAATATAAAAAATTTAGAACATACAATAAAAATAAAAATGTTGAAATGATAAGAATTCCCAAACAAGTTATTACTTACTTTCTTGTATATCGGATTGTCCTCTCCTATCAGAGCAACTCCAGCGTTGGAGCCCTCCCCCCTGGCAATACACTATTCAATCCACCTAATGAACAGTAATTGCCCTTAATGAACAGTAAGTAGCCCTGGCAATAGATTTTGCATCTCCACCGTTACACTTCTATAGCCCTGGCAATAGGCAATAAAATATTAGTATTTTTTTATTTATAAAATTAATACAAAATAATTTTAAATGTAATATCGGATAAGATTTTTAATCGTTCTCGTTGCGCCACGTGTCATTATCCTAAGTATTATTAAATAATAC